GTTAGCATTGAACATAGAGCAGATCCAGCTGCAGAGGCCTGCCTGGTCAGGGCCCGACCCCGCTTTCTCGGTCCCTCCAGGAACCGTGGAGGTATTGATTGACCTAGGGAATCATTTGCCACAGAGAGACAAAACTACAGGGACTGTGCGAGGCTGAGGACCCTTAGACAGACACTCTGGCAGCTTCTGCCCGAAGACTGAACTGGGGAGCGGGGAGGGCCTTGCTCTTGGCGGGCAGTGGCCGCGGCAGCAGCGGAGGGTGGGTGATGTGGGGTGTGCTGCGGAGGGTGGGTGATGTGGGGTGAAACCGGCATGGAACTCTTCCAGCACCGAGTGAGGTCTCTTGCAGATTTACGACTTGGGAGTTTCTCCACAGTTGGGTGTCTCCTCCTTTTTAATCTCTCACTTTCAAAACAGGGTGTCCTTTTTCTTTGATTTTTAAAAATTGTGGTTGAAATTTACCATCTTAATCCTTTTTAATTTTTAATTCAGTGACAGAAGCACATTCACAATGTTGTGTAATCATCACCACTGTCCTTGTCCAGAATGTTTTCATTATTCTAAATAGAAAGTCTGTACCCAGAAACGCTAACTCCCGTGCCCCCTCCCCTCCACCCTGGCACCCACTATCTACTTTCTGTCTCTTTGACTTTTTTTCTGACTTTTCTCGGTGCCTCATGTAAGTACATTCATACAATATCTATCTCTTATATACTGACTTGTGTCCCCCTAAAATTCATGTTCAGTTCCTAACTCCTAGTATTTCAGAATGTGACTGTACTTAGGGTCTTTGCAGACGTGATTGCGGTAAAATAAGTTCTCATGGGTGGGCCCTGATCCAATATGGTTGGTGTCCATACAAGAAGAGGAGATTAGGACACAGATAACACACACCAAGAGATGGCCCTGTGAGGAGGACACAGTGAGAAAAGGTGGCCTTCTACAAGCCAAGGAGAGAGGCCTCAGAAGAAACCAAACCTGCCGGCACCTTGATCTTGGACTTGTAGCCTCCAGAGCTATGAAAAATAAATTTCTGCTGTTTAGGCTGCCCAGTCTGCGGTTTTGTCATGATGGCCCCGGCAAATAAAGACTTTGTCCTTTTGTGACAGGTTTATTTCGGTTAGCATTAGTTTTTCAAAATGCTCATCCATGTTGTAGCATGTATTAGAAATTCATTTTTTATGGCTGAAGAGTATCCCAATGTATGGATAGACCACATTTGGTTCATGTGTTCATCTGCTGATGGACCCCTGGATTGTTTATTGTGCCGCTCAGAACATGGCTCTGCAAGGGCCTGTCTGAGCCCAAACAGGGTGTCCTTAAATTACATGCAGTGAGCCCTTTAGACAGTGCATAGCTCACGTTTTCCCTTCCTGCCTGGTCTGGTGGCTTTCTCTGTCCCTTCAGCCTGTGTCTTTCCCTGTTCTCTCCCATAGCCCTCCACCACCTTTCCCTAACACACCAATTCCTCTCTTCCCCTGACAGCATTCACTTGGATCAGTGGGAGAAGCTGTGGCTTTATGAATCAGGCATATCCAGGTTCAAGTTCAGGCCACTCTGCTCCTGTGAGGTGATGTTGAACAAGTTGCTGCCGCAGTCTGAGCCTCGGCTTTCTCGTTGTGACATGGTGGCATGCCCACCACTCGTGACAGGTGATACACTTGGCTCAGAGCAGGTACATCATTGACTTTGAGTTCCTTTTCTTTTCCTGGACCCAGGGCTGCCCCCTCCTCTCGCGGCAGCTAGAAGACTCAGTATTGGTGTATTAGTTGGGGTTCTCCCAGGAAACAGAGCCAATAGGATGTAAGTTTATAGAGAGGGGTCAAGGAGAGTTTATAGAGAGAAGTCAGAAATCCACAGAGGAAGCTGGTGGCTGGAAATTCTTGCAAGAGTAGATGTTGCAGTTTTGAATCAGAAGCAGTCAGAGGCAGCATTCCTTCCTCTTCCAGGGTGGGGAGCTCAGGCTTTTCTTTTAAGGCCTTCAACTGATTGGGTGAGGCCCATTCACATCATGGAGGGTGATCCGCTTGACTCAGAGTCTACAGATTTTAATATTAAGTACATTTTATTTTTATTTTTTTAAATGTTTTTTATTTATTTCTAGGAGAGAGAAAGACAGCGTGAGCAGGGGAGGGTCAGAGAGAGAGGGAGTGACAGACTCTGAAACAGGCTCCAGGCTCTGAGCTGGCAGTCAGCACAGAGCCTGACGGGGGGCTCGAACCCACGAACCGCGAGATCATGACCTAAGCGAAAGTCAGACGCTTAACCGACTAAGCCACCCAGGCGCCCCAATATTAAGTACATTTAAAAAATAGCTGCACAGCAACATTTCAACTGATATTTATCAAACAACTGGGCACTAGTTAACCTAGCCGAGTTAACACATAAAATTGACCATTGCAGTTGGTACCTTGTCATTTTTCTTCAGATTGGCCTAAAGATTCAGTGTAATCCCTATGAAAGTCCAAGAAGGCCTTTAAATAGCAATTTGCAGGCTGATTGCAGAATTCATATGGACGTGTGAAGGAACTACAATAGCCAAGGCAACTTTTAAAAGAAGATCAAAGTTGAGAGATTCACACTACCTGATTTCAGGACTGATTAGGAAGCCACAGTGGAAAGGTAGACACACAGATCAATAGGAAATAATATAGTTCAGTAATAGCTTTATACACATATCATCAATTGATTTTCAATAAAAGGTACGAAGGCAGTTGAGTCTTTCACCAAGTGTTGCTGGAACCCCTGGATGTTCACATGTGAAAATCTAAACTTGATTTTAAACCTGGCAGCCTATTAAAAATTGCACAAAATGGATCACAGGTCTAAATGTAAAACCTAAAATTGTTACACTTCTAGGAGAAAACAGGAAAACATCTTGGAGATCTTGGGTTAGGCAAAGAGTTCTTTGGATTTGATGAAAATTACGAATTTCCGCTTTTTGAAAGATATCTTAGTGCATGAAAAGACAAGTCACCGACGGAGAGAATTCTTACAGATTACGTATCTGATGAAATATATTTTTATATATGAAATATATATTATATATGAAAATATTTTATATATATGAAATATATTTTTATATATTTAGCATATATAAAAACATCAAAGCTCAATAGAAGAAAACAAACCCATTAAAAATAGTTGAAAGATTAAAACAACCACTCCAAAGATACACGAAAGAAGTGGATGACAAAAACACACATGGAAATATGGTTAGTATCAGTAGTCGGGCTCCTGGGTGGCTCAGTCAATTAAGCATCCAACTTTGGCTCAGGTCATGATCTCCTGGTTCGTGAGTTTGAGCTCTGCATCGGGCTCTGTGCTGACAGCTCAGAGCCTGGATCCTGCTTCGAATTCTCTGTCACCCTCTTTATCAGTCCCTCCCCAACTCACCCCTCTCTCTCTCAAAAAATAAACATTAAAACATTAAAAAAAATCATTAGTCATTAGGAAAATGCAAATTGAAACTACAATAAGATACCACTGTGTACCTACAAGAATGACTGAAATGTGAAAGACTGACCCTACCTAGGATCAGCAAGGAGGTGAAGAACTGGTGGCAGGAATGGAAAATGGCACAGTCACCTTAGGAAAAAATTAAATGGACCCTCTACCGTGTGATCCAGCCACTCCCCTTCTGGGTATTTATTGGAGAGAAACGAAAGAGGATTGATAAGTGAAACTGAATATAGATGCTCCCAGAAGCTTGATCGGTAGCAGCCCAAACTTGTAGACAACCCAGTGTCTGTCATGAGGAGAATGGATAGCAAATTGTGGTCATTCCGTACAGTGGAATATAGTCCAGAATACAAAGGAATAAGCTATCGATAAAAAACTGCAGTGTGAACACATCTCAAAATAATTATGCTGAGTGAAAGAAGCCAGATAAAAAAGAACACAAAAGATGTGATTCCATTTATATTTACATCTAGGAAATGCAAATGCACAGAATGTATAGTGAAGAAAGCAGCTGAGGGGCTGCTGGGGAGGGGCTGGAGGGGGGAGGCATGAGGAAAATTGGGAAGTGAGGAATCTTCACTATTTTGATTGTTCTGATATATATGCATCAGATTTGATTAGCGTTCTGTGCTACAGGTGGACTAGACCTCAGTAAAGCTGTGTTAAGTGTAAAGCCCATGGAAGAATGGCCAGTTACTTCATTTCCTTTCCTCCATGGCCGACTGCCATCCTTAGTGACACCCTCCCCCCAGCCGGACAAGCCAGTGTCTGCGTTCCTTCAGCTTCATAGAACTGGCTGTTAGGGGCCATCATGTGTCGTTAGGAAAACTGCATCAAATAGCACATTACTGACATGACAAAGTTCTGGAATCCCCATGTCACTGGAAATGGATCTCTGTCCGTTGTCTTACGTCACAGCATGGGACACGCCTCCTAATTCCCCCTTTGTCCTCCAAGGTGTCAGCATTCTATATCTTCCGGAAGCCCCGAGAAGGTTAAGCGCCTAGCCATCTACCTCAAAGGTCAGATGTCGCATGTTTCCTTAACCAGCTATTGTGGCTTCACCCTCCTGACCTTTGGGGAGGGGATGAATTGTTTGTCAGTGGCTATCAAATAGAATCTAGCTTTGCCCTATGGCTCCTTCATTCAGAAAACTGAGGCAGGTCAAGGTCAGTGACTTGGCCCAGACTTTAGATCAAGTTAGCGCAGGGGCTGAGAAGGCTTGGGGTCCTAACCCCTAGACCTAATCCAAGGGATGCCCCACTTTTTCTCCACCACCCCTGCCCTGTGACCCATGTCACATGACCCCAGGGCCGCTGGGGGGAGAGAATCCGGCCTGGGCTCTGCCTTCCGGGGCCTGGCAGCTGGCACAGCAGTGGCAGAGCGAGCCTCCGTGCAGCCTGTCAGGGTCTGCGCTGCTTCCCCATCACGTCCACCCAGTTGCCCTAGTGACTGTGTGACCCTTTCTCCCCCACCCGGCGCTGCCACCAGCCCTATAAATAGAGGCGAGGAGCAGCTGGGCTCTCTTGGCAGTCACCATGAGGGCGCTGGTCCTGCTCTGCTGCTTTGTGGCATCGCTCCTGCTCCCAGGACAAACAGGTATGACCCTCACCCATGTCAACCAGGCCAGACTGCAACCCCCATGCGCCCGGAGGTCTCATGTTTGACTGCAGGGGGCGGGGGAGGGGAGTCTTGAGCAGTAGAAGGAGGATGAAGCCTCAGTGGTTCCTGGGGTTGATGGTATATCTTGATTCCTGGCATCGTCTCCATTCCCTTCTCCCTGGGACCCAGGAGAAAATGGTACAGAGAACCCGAGAGATGTCAGGGTATGCAGGGGAGGTCGGAGAAAGTGGGAGCAGTGAACGGAGAGGTGCAGGCAGGCATGAGGCCCTGAGCCAAGGGCCAAGAGCCAGAAGGCAGGTCTGTCCAGTAGATGTTGGGGAAGAGGACCCCAAAAGTCAAGACTAGAGGACCCTTCTAGATGGACAAAAGAACCCGGTCTTGGAGCTGGAGGGGCCCCTGGAGGTCTGAGTTGGCTTGACCCTCCTACGTGGTGGGGATTGGGCAGGGGGCTGGCTTTGCATGACTGAGGACTGGGCGTAGTGCATAGAGTTGGGGGTTGTTTGGGAAACAGCAGAGTAGAAAGGGGGTCTGTTGGGTACAGATTGGAGATGGGGTTGGGGATTGGACGCAGAGTTCAGGAGAGGAGCAGGACCTACTGCAGCATATCCCTGGGCTGGGCTGGGGGCTCCGCTGGAAGGGGGCTGGGGCATGTGTGCATGGTTTTCCTTTGATATCTCAGCATTTTGTGTGTCAGAGGTGGTGGCTCAGGTTACAGCATGGAGGTTATTTCTAGGCATAGAGGGGACACCAGAGCATTTGTCACCTCTTTCTTCCCAAGACTTCTGGGGCCGGGTCCCCCTTGGTGATGCTTCAGGGGTGGTGTGGGGACCCCCAAGCATCTGGGTCTCCTGCTTCGTCTTTTCATGAGTGGCAGTCTTCATCTGCACAGGGGACCATGGCAGCCAGAGCCCCTGGCTCTCCGATCTTTGAGATTCTGGGTGTTGATGTCCCTGTCCCAGCCAGGAGAGCAGGTAGCAGGCAGGAGCAGAAGCTGTTCCCTCAGGGTTTAGGGACCTGGGTGGGGGGATTCGGCCTCGTGTGTGCGCTGGGCCCTGCCCTTGTCTGCCCTTGAGTTAATTTGGGCCTTGCAGGGCTGCCGTGGCTGGAGCGGTGAGGATTCCAAGCGGCTGTCAGGTGGCTAAGTATGGAAACAGCCGTGTAATTGGATCCTGAGCCCTGAGCCCCGAGCCACTGCTGCCAGCTCCCCTCTCAGCCCCTGCCCCACTCCCCTCTCAGCCCCTGCCCTGCTCCCCTCTCAGCCCCTGCCCTGCTCCGCCCAGCCCCAGCTGCTGCCTTGCTTCCATACAGCAGGCCCCGGGGACTTTTAGCCTTTTAGGGGCATCCTTCATCTTTCCTCCCAACAAGGGAACTGGACATCTGGAACGTTCCATAGGCCTGACTGGGAATCTTGCTGTGGGGGGAAGGAGGCGGGCAGGCACTTTGTGCGAAGCTCATCTCTGTGCATGCTCCTTCCCTCCTGGACTCTGCCCAGGCCTGGCTTCCAGGGAGGGTCGTCCACCACGTGCAGAGTCCTCTTTCTCCTCAGTCCTGCTCACCACTTTGGCTGTGGACTCTTGCCCTGGGGCTGAATTTTATCACTATTCCAGCTGTAGATTACCCGAAAGACAGCTCTCTCCTGTGCCCACCAGGAGGTTCCAGCCGTGGGGGTGGCTTCTCCCTGCCCCAGTGATAACAGTCCTTGCTACTGGTTGATTTCCCACTGGAATTGTGCCATGAAGTAAATGCCACCTTGCCCAAAGACAGCAGCTTTGCTCCTGAACTTCCCACCCTACCACCGGGCCCTCATTTCCATCCCGTGTCACCTGCCCCTGGCTGGATGGCAGTGTGACTTTCTGTCTAACCCAGCGTCCTGCTCCCTGGGGGAGGAGCGGGCCCTACAGAGCCTTGCTTCCTTCTTTTGTCCCCATGTTGCTCCTGTGGTCCTCTGGACTGAGGTGGCCTCTTCTCATTCCCAAGCAAGGGGCCAAGTACCTCTCCTGATGCTAGGACACAGCCAGAGCTGCTGGGGCCCCATCACCAGACACATTGTGGGTCCCTATCCCCCAGCCCCTGGCCTCTGTGCATTTGTGACCACTGGGGTCCTCCTCTTTGTCTTGGGGACTTGGCCTGCTCAAGGACAGGGGAAAGCAGCCTTGAGTATTGTCTAGGTAAGAGAGTGAAAGCCAGAGGAATGAGAGATGTGTACAAGGTCAGGCAGTGAATTAGGGATGGTCTCACCCTACCCCGGAGTTCCTGCCTTTGCCTCCTCCCAAGAGTGGCATGGTGGGGGTGGCCAGAGCTGAGAAAGCACTCAGGTTCAAGCTGCTGGCGTCTGCTAGGCTGGACTGGGGACTTCTTTGTTTCCTGCTGTCTGCTTGATGCACAGATTGGGGCAGACGGGGATTCTGAGCCTGCCCCTCCCTCCAGCCCAGCCTTGGTTTGGCCTGCTTGCAGCCTGCTCTGGCCTCCACCCTGCCATCCTACTGGTGAGAAGTTTGTGCACACTGGGGCTGACCTGTCCCCTCCATGAGAGATGAGGGTCTGTCAGGAACCCATTTGTGGCCCCTCCTCACCCGCCCCAGGCTGGCTATTTCCAGAAAGAGACTGTGTTCACGGTCCCTCAACAGGAGAGCCCAGCTGCTGCAGTCCACTGTGGGGAGGGGTCACGAGCTCAGGGGTTTTGGGGAGAGGGCAGAAGCCTTTGCAGCGCCCCCCGCAAGGTGTGACTCCTGGCTCAGTGCAGCTGGATGAGCCCATAGGGAGAAGATAGCCTGCCCCTTCCCACATCGAGTCTACAAAGTACTCGTGGGATTTGCTAATGGATGTGCACACCTTGCTTAGTGGCCCGTGGAACCAGAGTTTGGGACATGCTGGTTTTGTCCCTCATCTGGGTGTGGCGCTGAAAGTCAAAGAGCTGGTTCAAGGCAGGTCGGAGCTGGATTTCAGGTTTCCTTCCTCCCCCGGAAGGAGGTCCACAGGAGGCCAGCTGCATCCACCTGAGCCTTTGGTGCTCACTTAGGTGTGGTGGGCTGGGAAGGAGCCTAATCCCTACAGACACAGGAGGAAGATGGCTGTTCCTCTCTGACAGGGTCTCAGGGCCAAGGACAGGGTCTAGGTGCTGTGTCTCCTGGTCTGGAACGAGGGTGCAGCCGGGAGAGTGGGCAGGGGTGGGGTCTGCCACTGTGAGATGCTGGACTTAGCTCTCTCCTGGACACCTTTCCTGCTCCAAATCCAGACCCACTCACTGCAACAACCCCTTACATTTAAATACTGCCTGGGTACAAAGCCTTTTCGTTCAAACAGCTTGCTACATCTCACTGTGTACTAAGCATCCCAGATTTATCATGTACCTCTTGTTGTTTAGGTATGGTACTAGGGGAATTCACACAGGCATTTCATCCTTGGCATGCTTACAGTCCAGTACAGGTAACAGGGCTTCTTCTGCCTTGTGGCCTTACACACACACACACACACACACATACACACGCCACGCATGAGTGTGTAAGGGAGACGCAGGTAAAGTGAGGTGGGGTGGAAGGACCTGGGGAGATCGTTTTTAGCTGAGTGGACCAGGAACTGTTTTACAGTTGAGGGAATATTTGAGATGGGCCTGGAAGAAAGTAGCATTGAGACATGGAGTGATGGAGGGAAGAGGATTCCACTTTAAAGGAGCAGGATGGGCAAACTCATGCCGTCAGGAAAGGTTGGGGCTCTGGTGAGAACTGGGCAAGGATAAGAGCAAGCAGAGCAAAGTGGGGTCATGGGGAAGGTCCTTGGAAGGCTGGGTTGGACCAACCCTGGAGGACCTCATGTGGTCGGCTGATGAGGAGGGCTTTGTTCTGTGGATGGTGGGTAACCTTTGAAGGTTCTGGAAGCATCCATCTGGCAGATGTCTGTAGGGAGGGGGAGGATGAGGGAGGCTGATTGGAGGACCCTGTCAGAAATGCCATTAGGAGGGTATGTGAGCTCCGCAAGGTGGTGGAGGCAGAGAGGAGGGCCAGACCCAGCAGGTAGCTGCGATGTAATCCACTGGACTTTGAAACCTGTCAAGCCAGGGCCACAAGGAAGCCTTGTGGGTCTAGTGTGGGTCGCTGGAGGTGTGATCTTGGCAGATAACTAACTAACTAACTAACTAACTAACTAACTAACTAACCAGGAACATACAAGAACAGATTTTCAAAGCTCAGCTTGGGTCATTATGAATTTGAGGTGCCAGGGAGACATCTGGATGGAGATCCTGGCTGTCTCCATCCAGATGGAAAGTCTCATTTGGAGGCCCAGAGATGAGAGGCACTTGTGTGAGGATGAGGCAGTTGCAGAGAGAGCAAAAGAAGAGATGCAGGGTTGGTTGTTGGGCAGCGCCAGATTTGGGCAGTGGGAAGAGGAAGATGAGGGGCAGCAGGGTGGTTCAGTTGGTTGAACGTCTGACTTCAGCTCAGGTCGTGATCTCATAGCTTGTGAGTTTGAGCCCCGCATTGGGCTCTGTGCTGACAGCTCAGAGCCTGGAGCCGCTTTGGATTCTGTGTCTCCCTCTCTCTGCCCCTCCCCTGCTCACATCCTGTGTCTGTCTGTCTCTCACAAAAATAAATAAGCATTAAAAATTTTAAAAAAAAGGAAGATGAGTGGATTTCAGGAAAAGGAGAAGAGACCCAGGAAGAGGCAGTGATCTGAAAGCCAAGAGAAGGGCACATTCTATTTAAAAAAAAAAAAAAAAATTAACGTTTATTCATTTTTGAGAGACAGAGCGCAAGCAGAGGTAGGACAGAGAGAGAGGGAGACACAGAATGGGAAGCAGGCTTCAGGCTCTGAGCTGTCAGCACAGAGCCCGACACAGGGCTCGAACCCATGAACCATGAAATCATGACCTGAGTGGAAGTCACATGCTTAACTGACTGAGTCACCCAGGTGCCCTGGGAAGGGCGCATTCTAGAAAGGCGTTTGGAAGGCTGAGATGCCAAAGAGATGCTGGGGAAGAT